CAGCCCGGCTCCAGCTCTCCGGCGCCCAGCGCGGCCGTAGCCCCGCCGCAGCGCCGCTCCAAACTCGCGTCCCGGGGCAGCGCCGGGGCTGCCGCGCCGCTGCCCCCGCGTCGGCAGCGCCCCGGTGGGTGCCCGGCCCGGCGCCTCGCCCGCCCCGGGGCCGCGCGGCGGCGGCTGGAGGGGGAGCGCCCCAAGGAGCCGGAGCGGCGGCGGCGGCGGCCGCCCTCGGCGCCCGGGACAATGGTGCTGGACAAGGAGGACGGTAGGTGGGAGCGGGGCGCGGGGCTCGCCGGTCCCTCCCGGGCGCCCCGGCGGCGGGAGACGGCGGGGAGGGAGGGAGGGACGGGCGGACGGGTGGAGGGAAGGAAGGAGCGGGGGCCGGGGGGGGCTGCCCCGCGCCGCGGCAGGGCGCTGCTGCCCGGCCTGTCCCGCACCGCTCCGCTCACAAAGGGGTCCCGGGGGCGCCCGGAACGGCGCCCCCTCAGCGCCGCCGGGTCGCTCCCCGCGGTGTGCAGGCCGGGCGGGGCGGTGCGGCGGTGACCGCGCTGGGGACACGGCGGCGCTGGCCCCGGCCCCGGTGCGGGCTGCGGCCGGTGGGGCAGCGCCTGACACCCGCAGCCCCGTCACCGGGCCGCCATCGGCGCCGGTGGCCTCAGCGGGTGTCCCCGCCGGACCAACTCCGGCGGCACCCGAGGCCGCGGTGCCGAAATGCCGCCCCGCGCTCCCGCTGCGGGCAGGGCGGCCCTGCGCGCTCGTGTGAATTGCCATAGAATGTCCCTGTATCGGGCTGGCGGGGGGCTCTAACTCGGAAAAGTGTATGCCAGGCTGAAGAGACAAGTGGGAGATGCTTTCTTCTTTCCTTCGCTTTTTTTTTTATTTCCCCCCCTTCTTCCTCTTTTCCTCTCCCCCTCCCCTTTTCTTTTGATCTGGAGTTTCTGCCTCAGAACGGTGAGAGTCCGCCCGCCGCGACACCGCCGAGTCGGACGGGGCACGAAGAGAAAAGCCGGGCTGGCTTGGGCGATCGGCTGTATGGGAGGGGGCCGGAGCGCTGACAACGAGAAGGTTAAATGCTCACTGCCCCAGAGAGGTGCGTGGGCAGGGAGTCTCGCTGCACGCTCGTCACATGCCTCTGGGCCGAGAATCCCTCTCCCAGCGTCTTTTTTTTTCCCCTCCGATTTCTTGAAGCCCTCTGAAGTAAACTGATGTAGTGTTATTAATGGGGTCTATAATGCTCCAGTCGACAGCGCGTGTGTTGGAGAAGAGGGATTGAACTTATCTAACTGGTCAGCGAGAGATAACAGTAGAAAGACTTTTCTCATTCCTCACCCCCTTTGCACTAGGGCAAAAGGGTTAAGTAATGACTGAGGAATTAAGCAAGGATAATTTCTTACTAGTATTTGGAGCAAGGTTTGTGTTTCTCTCCGACTTCGCTTTTGGGGATGACCTGTATTGCAAGAGTCCCCTAAATTTTGCTTGACTGTTGGAGGAAAAGGAAGGAAGGGCTCTTAACATCTCTGTTAATACCCCTTAATAATAATAACTGGATGATGTCTTCATCCCGGTGACTCTCTGTCATGGGGTGCCTGCCAACCTGTATCTGTTTCAGTGTGATTGACGGGCTAACAGCAGGATGCTGCCTCCATCGCAGAGGGGAGAGGCACAGGTGAGCTGAGAGGAAAAACTGAGATCTGAAGAGGGTTTCATAATGGGGGTATTTGGGCTCTTTCAAGTGTCGCAGACATACTCATTAAACACAAGGAGCTCGGGGCCAGAGTGATGGTGGTGTAAGGAAATGAAACTAGAACCGTTGATTATCCAGACAGTTCTCAACAGCCTCCTTCCAGGAGATTTCATGAGCGGCTGTATAAAAGGGAATAATGGTGGCGATTGTAGAGGTACACAGGAAATTAGGGCGGGATGCACTTAAAAAGGAGTAAAGTAGGAAACAAACCCCTGATGAGAGGGATGTGGAGATCTGGGCAACAAGGTGCAGTAATGCCTAGGAATCTCCTGTGCTGTTGATGGAGTAGTTATGCTCCAGGAGAAATTATGCTCACTTTTAAAGGTGCACTGGAGAAATGGGGGCAGGACGTGAGCCCGAGAGAAGAAACTTTTTTTATGAAGAGGTTATTTTACCTTTGTACATTTCTTTCTGCCTGATTCAAATGGACTCCACTTGCCCGCTCATCTGTGAATGTTAAAAGGGGATGCTGGACCTGCATAGGTTACAAATGGACTAAAATGGAAGCTTTTGCTAACTAAACCAATACCTTTTGAAATCAAGCTTGAATGAGCTTGTTAATAAAAATGGGTCTGTTTTACTCCCATAAATGGCTCCTTTTTTTCTTTTTTTTTTACCCTTTTTTCCCAGAGCCTGGTCTGATTTCTACCATCTCAAAATCCTGGTGTTGTGGCTAGTATCCAATTCTCCCCTTGATTTAAGAGGCCTCGCCACGTAGGGTTTTTCTTTGAGGGGTGTTCTTCTTTTGAGGTCTCTGGCAGCCTGGGCATATTCATAGTTATTACTGTGTGCAGAAGACAGGATTTCAGGATTACCTCTCCCAGAGGCCCTGGTGCATCACAGGGAGGACACTTGCTGCCTTGTAGGTAGAGGTGGCAATGTGCCCCTTGCTTTTGCGTCCCTGAAGGCTACTTGGCAAGCTGGTCCACGGCCTCAGAGAGAGCTGCCCATTCTTCCAGCTCCAGGCCAGGGCTGTGGCGCTGCCTTAGGGGTGTGTGCCAGCCCCAGTGCGACACCAGTATCGCCCTTGCAGTCCAATAACTGCTACACGGCTTTGTGAGTGAAAAGTTTCCTTGGCAAGCACGCTCCGTGGTGCCGAGAGGTAGTAGAGGCACAGTAATACTTTTCTGTGGTTTTTACAAATATCGTTGAGGATGAAGGGGCATACTGAAAAAAATAACAACAATAATAATGCTTCTGACTTGATGTGTTGTGGCATTGCGTCGAGTTATGTCAGGGAGGTAACAGCATTTTGTGTGTTTGAAGTGACATAATATAACTTGACTGATGCAACATGACTTGGTATTAGAAAATACTGGTTTACAGTGGAACTTCTGCAGATATCTTCCCAAAACAAATGTTAGGAACCGAGAGAAGAGAGGCGAGAGGGGTGGAGGAGAGAAAGGTTGAGAGCGAAAAACTTCAAGGCTTGCATTTTAGTCAGTTCCACTGCGTAAATCAGTGCAGAATTTGCTGTGGGCAAGCCAACCTACACACCGTGCAGCGCATTTATAAATTTCAAGATAATGAGAGTTAAGATATTTCTCAAACACATAAATGTTTTGATTGCAAAGACCAGATTTCTGCTTAAAAAAGTAAACTGACATCAGGTATCATGATTAATTCCAACAGATTGTGTTAATTGTAGTTGACTTTAATTTCTGTACAAACGTGGTGGGGGTTGGAAAACTTTTTTTTTATTGTTGGTGTGTGAAATGAGTAAGCAGATAAAGTGTTTAAAAAAAAAAATCTGTTTGCTAAGGGAGTAATCCAGCCTCTATGACATGATGGAGCAGTAAGGGAATAAAATGTACATTGATCCGGTACCACGTATTTTTTCCTGAGTGCGTTATGCCTGCTGGTTTGCTCTGCCACAGAAGTCACCTGCGACAGACGATAGCTAACTTCATTTTCATCAAAACTTTGCCTTTCTTGTAGTTACCAAATAGTGTAAGTTAAAATGTACCATATGTTTTGGGGTAAGTTTGTCCCTTTTGAAGGTGACAAGGTGGAAAAGTTCAGAAACACACGTGTGGAACATTTTTGGAGTTCACCATTTTCTAGTGGAGACCAATAGTATATTGAAAGTATTAAACTACCTCAAATCTAGAAAAGTCTGTGTTTTTGTTAGTTTTTGCATGGATGCTTTTAACTATTAGACTTTAATCTTTGTGATAAAATCCTCCTCCTTTTTAGTTTGTGACACTTCCTAAAAGAAAGTGATTATTTATGGTGGTTGCACTCTTACTCTAAAATACATATTCAACACTTGCAAACAAGTATCACTAGGAAACAGGAGTTGTTCGAAGTGCTAGATGAAAACAGTTCAACGTAAAACGTTACATTTAACATCAAATATTCTCAAGGACTGTTAGGATTAAGTATTGTGAATGAAGGGAGAAGGAAAAGCCACTTCAGCTGGGGATAAGGAATCTAATTAAAAATCGGTATTAAGGATATATAACTTGAGCCCGCTATCATGCTCTTTAGAGTACCGGTGTATCAGTTGTAAAGGGGAGGAAGAAGTATCATTAAAGCAGAAATCAAATGTTTTCTCAGATTAAAAGACCATGATGAGTGAAATGGTGCTGTCGCTCTCGTAGTGAAGTGTCTGATCCCGCAATCCTTACGAGAGCCATCGGAGACAACAGATGACTTGTCTGAAAAAGGATTGAGAGTTGCGACAGAAAGGATAAAAGACATGGGACCCCAACTTGTCACTTTATATTTGGGCCCTGATGGCATTTCTGAAAAGTGGAGCAAACCTGAAAGGGTTTGTACCACATTTGATTAGGTAAATTCATTTTAATATCGACCTAGTGAAAATGGAACTGTATTCTCTGGAGTATTCCCTGAAACTAATACCTACATATGAAAACAAACCTAAAATGTTTGTACAGAAAATTAGTATCAAGTTTTAGGTCACCAGAGGTGTGTGAAATCTAGCTGGGAGAGCAGCAGGGCTGGTGTAACGCAGCCCGGGTCGGGTCGGCGGCATCAGCTGCGGAGAGTTCTGAGCCTCTGACCTGCCAGAGCTACTGGCTGGTGTCAGACAAAATCCGTGCTCTTAGGGGAGCAAATCTGGAGCGTGGCCGTGCTCTGGACTCAGGCAGTCCCGGGGACAAAGCGCGGCGCGGGGTGAGAGGCGGGCGGTGCGGGTCCCCCCCGACCCGCGGCACCTGGGCGGGGGCCGGGCGGGCTGCAGGTGGTGCTGCTGAGCCGGGAAGCCGCGCTCTGCCAGGAAACCCTGGCAGGAGGACGAGAGGGGGCCCTGGGAAACGTGTGCATTTATTCATAGCAAGTGTGCAAGGCTCACCAATCGAGAGGCAGAGGCAGCAGTAGTCAGGCTTAGGTACTCTACCGTCTCTGAATATAATTTTAGATTTAGATTCTGCTTAAATCCAAAGGGAAAACACTTTATAAGGCTGAAAGCTGTGTAGTTGCAACAGCCAGGGTTATGAGCTATCAAAGGCAATTACATTAAAATAGATTATACTGCGTAAATTGAGCCATTTAGAAGGTGAGAACCAAAGAAACAGCTCTGATCCCCCTTCTTTCTAAATTGCAGTTTTAGTTCCTTGCAATTCTGAGGCACAAAAGTAGGTGAGACTGCTTTTGTATCTGCAAAGTGCTTTATTTCTGAGTGTAATTCTAACTGAGTGCAATCTAGGTTAAAAGCTGGACAACTGGGTAATTAGAGCTCACTTGCTGCTAAAGGACGATCAGCTGTACCGTAGCTCATTTGTGTTCCCAGAGACTTGTTCTCCTCTCCCCTGAGCGGAGGCTGCTGGAGAAGGAGCATCTGTCCTCGGACTTTTCTTGGTTGCGGAGATGATGGTGCTGGACAAGGAGGACGGTAGGTGGGCTGAGATTGTGTAAGCCTGTGCTTGGTGTCTTCCGTGTGCTGCTAATGTAGAAATAAATAGTTTTGAAACAGATGTGCGCTGTGCATATCAGAGTGTTCTGCATTCAGCTTCTGATGTTTTTCTCTTGTGTAGGTAAAAGCATGCTTGCTGTTTATTTTTTTTTAATCTCTTCTCTGACATGATCGAACCAGTCAAGAAGGGTTTACCCCAGGCTCTGTTTGCTGAAGGACATAGCAGAAAGAGCTTGATTATTTTTTTTAATATCTATTTTGATTTTTCTTTTTGCAAGTTACTCTAATATATCCATTTTAGCCTGTTTATTTTAACAGCTTTTATTGTAAATCTAATTTTGAGATTTTCTTTCCTTTTCATTGCATGTCATTTGGGTCTCTTTAATGTGCGCCTTCAATATGTATTTCTCACAGCTTTTCTTCACAGCTATAAACATTATGACAATAAGCTAATAAGCTGCTCTGGCAAAAAAAAAAAGCATTGGTTTATTCTAAGAATTTACTCCCTTCTCTTAATGGCAGAAGTGTAGGTTCATTTGGGAGGTAATTTCATGAATGAAGCTGAAGGAGAGCTTGACTTATTTTAGGACTTCACATATACTTATTTTCTTAAGACTGACTAGTCCTTTTCAAGGATGCTTAAAGGGTACAAACTGATGTAAAGGATAACAGACAGTGTTAGTTAGTAGCCTGAATGACCCCCATCGCATCTTTTACACATTGCTTATGAGGGTGTGCAACTTAACTGCTCAGTCACCAGTAGTTTCTGGGATGAACATGGTAAGTCTAATCACAACTTTTTAATGAGTTTTTTTCTAAGGCTGCTTTGTGGCTTAGGTCTTCCTTCATGGTCTGTACACTGAAAGCAAAGATTAAAACTGAGGCAGAGCAGAACACTTCTGTAGCCATCCACATGGGCTTCCATCGAGGATGCTGCCTCTCGCCGAAGACCTTGGCAGCACTTTGAGTATAGAAAGTGGGAACTGCATCTTAACTTTTAATGCACATTTGTAACTATTATCTCATAATTTCATTTCACCTTCATAAACAGATGAAATGTGCTGTGTAGTGGATTCTTTTAAAATTTATTTCAGAACTTTCTTTAAGTGTTAAAAAAAGAGTTGTAGGCAGTTGTCATTTGAAAGTAGAAGAAATTACTGAATATTTGTAAGACTGTAGACAGGAGACAGCTTTTCACAGGGAGCAAAAGAGCTTGGAGAAATTGGAAGTTGAGCATTTTGGCAGTAGCATTGATTTTACTTGAATATATGTATTGCTTTCTAAAATATTTATGAGAAAAATAACTTGTAATTCAAAGTCACTTACTTTCCTGTGTCAGGGTGGTGCTAATCGTGTTTTGTGACTAGTACTGAAAGCTGCCCAATGCTAATAAGTTGGACCGATATGATTTTTATTCACAACCCATATCTGAACTGAATTAGTGCTGTGCTGGAGAATAATTTGGAAAGAAGGCTTGACTACTGAAAGACCAAAAGTTTCTCTTCTTTCTCTCCTCTCCTTGCCTCCCAAAAAAGAGTGAGGGGGGAATACTACCGGATATTTTAGACCTAGCATTTTGAGGTTTTTATGTCATTAAAAATGTGAATTATAAAATTATCAATCTAGTGTATTCATGCCCATAGAATTTGAATCTAGTTTCTTGGATGGGATATGAGGTTTTGTTTCATTCTGATGTGAAGCATTTGGCACAATGACAAAATGTGGACTTTTCACAAAGCTTTTACACTTTTAAAATATGAGATCAAGCAGAATACATCATTAGTAGTGCCCACTTTTATGCAGATTCAATTGGATTTTGACTGAGAGTTGACCATTGTTAGATCAAAGTCCATGTATGAGTTGTCTTGCCCTTCTGAATTTATTCCACTCTAATTAAGTTGGCATCCCAAAACTGGGAAATAATCTTATTTGGGGGAAAAAAAATAAATCACCGGCTTTATTTCTGTTAAAATCTCATAAGTTCCTTTGTTAACACAGTAGAGCTTTAAAAAAAGAGAAGTAGATGTGGAGCATCTGTTACACATCTTCTAGATCAGCTTTGCAGTTGACTGGACTGTGGATAAAAGACCCACTAAGTGGTTGAGTATTGCTTATGCTGGGAAAACAAATGAAGCTAACAGGGTTTCAAAGGCTTTGAAGCAGTGTCACTCTCAGAGGTGTTCAGTTGTTTTCTTTGGCAATGTAAGTTGAAGCAAGCTAGTTTACTTTATTAGAGGCATAAGGCTACTCTTGTAACCTTCCTCTGACTAAGATGAATTTGGCTGATTGACCTTATTTCTTTCTGGACCACACGTGTTGTGCTGGGTTAGCGGTTTTTTGGGGGGACTTTTTTCCCCTTGTTAGGACTCATCTCTTTTAAAGGACAGCAACATTTCCCATATTTTGTTAAATCTTCCTTTTCAATTTGTGCTTCCCCATAGAACTATGTTCTGCTATGATGGAGCAATGCAAATCAACTAGAATAGCCCAAATTAATTCTTCACATTGGCGGCAGTGTGATTGCCTGCATGGAATCAATAATGCATCATAGAGGGATCAAATTTTGGAGTATAATGTGTGAATAATGCTTGACACAAAACAAAAATTCAGTCATCATAATAGCAATTAGGAAAAAGCTGCAGCTTATCCCAGCTGTAATCTCTGCTAACAATGAAGCACAGCCTGGTAATCAGCATGTATGGTATGAAATGCACTAATAGAAATCATGGCTCTTTGTTATGTGTGTGGGGGGTGAAAGTTTCCTTTCAGCTAACTTGTGCTGTGTTAACTAGACAGAGTATCCTTCAACCAAATTGTGGAGTGTGTGTGCACTTGTAAAATCACTGATCAGCTGTGTGTTCATCCTGGTGTTTGCATAGACAGTAGCACCCCAAATCATGGATCCTTTGTGTTTTCCAGCAGAACACTGTTTAAATAGATCCCAAGAGTAGGCCAAGTAAATAATATATCAGAGCACTCCATTAAACGTGTACCTGTATGCAAACCTTGGGTTTCATTTAAAAAAAAAATCATAGTTTCTTTAAAAATGAAAAGAAAAATACAGATACTTATTGGTTGTGTGCATTGAGGTTAGAGAATGGGTCTTAGGTTGATGGGAGGTATTTAGGGCAATGAATATTAGGTAATTTGAAACTGGATTAGTAGGAGCAGTTGGGTTCCCTGTTGTGTAAGAGCCCATCTTACCCTGCACAGAAGGAAAAAAAAAAAAGCAGCATTTGGAATCAGAAAAGCAGTGAAATTGATTGTATAATGGCAGTCACAGGAATGCTGCCACAGTGCCCTAGCCAGGACAGCAGAGCTGTGGGTTGGCTTCTCAAATGAGTATGCCAGCTGCCACATGGAGGTACCTACAGATAGGTAGATGAATATGGAGAGAGATCTGTCTCCAGTGACACAGGTCCAAGCAATCCTTTTCTGTCAGTAAAAATCATTATACACACAAAAATAAGGCACGTACAAATTGTGCCATGTAGGAACAAGAGCTGTTCTACGTGCTGCTGGGGTCTTTTGTTTCTTTTAGTGTACCTTTTTCAGGTATACCTATTGAGGAATCACACAGAGACAGAAAAGGGGAAATGGCAGGGTGGCTTTTCTGCACATGACATGGAATTTAATTTTTCTTTTGCCTAATATCCCTGAAGCGATCTCTTTTTTTTTTTCTTTGTATCTCCTTTTCCCCTCTACCTCAGACCTTCTCCATGGTCCACTGCTGTCTAGCTTACCAGGTATAAAGAATGACTATGTATCTTCCCAGACATCAGCTTATTCAAAGAATGATTGATAAAGGTCACCAAAGACCTTATTTTTGCCTACTTAGCTGGGTTAGTTGGATTTTTGAGGGCTTGATTTTGACGCATGTGGTCTTAGTGCAATTTTGGAGGTTAGGTCTGGCTTTAGTTCATGACACAATGTTTTTTTGTGACTCAAATATACAGGAGTGGATTAATATATTCATGAAGAGGAGATAGGAAGTTGTCAAAGTTGTCAAAGCAGTAATCTGAATAAAACCAGAGCACATTTGGCAGCAGAATAAACCACAAATCTCGGTCTGGCCAGAAAAGACCAAAAAAAATTTGGACTGTTTCTCCAAAGCTGACTAAATGTGGAGATAAGGTAATCTTCCTAGAGGTGCTCTCTGCCCCTGAAGCAGCAAATACCACAAAGCGTGATGGAACCACAGGATAGTAAAGTAATTGCCTATACCTTTCCAAGAAATGCAGGGTGCTGCAGTTGGAGCACTGATAACCTAGATATCCATTTAATAAAATCTCATCCTATGGGCAGAAGAGTGAAAGGAGTTAGCAGGTCTACGAGTAGCAAACTGCTTTGTATAGAAATATTCCTGCTGGGCAATCAAATACTTCCTAGTATTCGTTCAGGACTAGATAGCTGAAAGATCTGGGCTGGCATCTGTATAGGGTGTCATCATACTTCATTCCCAGGTGCTGTTGACACATGATAATTGTCTGGTTGACATAACAAGCATTAAAACAGTGTAGGGACCTTTTTCAGCTTGGTAATAGGGCAAAAGAAGAAGCTTGTCCTTGGAAATTAGTTTGCTCTAATTTTGGTTTAATACAGTAGAAAGTATACTTGATACCCTGGCAGCAGAACATAATTTGTCTTCTTTGGAGTTAGTGTTAAATTTTATTATCTTTAATAGATACAACGTGAACATGTCAGCCTGTTTGTCATAGCCATTCCAAAAATGCTCTCTCATGGTAGAATCTTCAGAAAAATTCCTTTTAAGAGCAGTGCATTATTAATAAAGTAATCCATTAGGTCTGGTGATAAAGGGTCACAGCAGAGTCTGAAATACGTTTCTTAAATGGTTAAGAAATTTATCATGGTTGGAGGATTAATTGATTTCATTTGGAGGCTTTCTTAAGGTTTTCAGGCGTTGCGTTTAGAGATGGTTTTATTCTCTTTGGAAATGTGCTTGCTGCTCAAAGTTTTGC